GGTAGGGGTAGGTGAGGTGGGGGGTAGGGGTAGGTGAGGTGGGGGGTAGGGGTAGGTGAGGTGGGATAGAGAGGGGGGCAAAGACGAACCACGAGCGAGTGAAGCTGATACCAAGGAAAGACTGCTGCGGCCGTTGTAAAGAAGGTACGGCACACGGCACGAGTAAAGGAAGGTAAGGTTGGGGAGGTAGGTGTGGTACAAACACACCAGTGATTTTCTTCATTTAGGACGGGTCTCAAATTATTCCAACCTAAGTAACAAAGTTGCTATTAGGGTCGTCGTAATTTATACCTTAGGCGCCATAGTTTCTGCACACTACGGAGCAATCTGGCACCAATCGACGTTTTTGGCTGGAGGACTGAAAATGTACGAGTCGGCTTCAATTTATTCCTTTTTTTCCAAAGGCCAAAATGCCAATTTATTCCTTTTAAGTAATATATATTACTTAAATAAAAAACGCTGGAACAGGAACTAAGTTGATGCGCCATTGATCCGCTAGATTTCGTTGGATGCTGGTGGTGAATTGCTGAACCCAACGAATACATTCTGAAGTCGGATGGGGTGAACGGATTAGGGTGCCCCTCCTCTAGCAGGGGAGAGCAGGGAACTGCCTCCAAGGGAAAGGGGGCCGCTGGTGAAGCTTTACCACCCTGTACAACATACATACATACATACTAAGTTGATGCGCCGTTGATCCGCTAGATTTGGTTGGATGCTGGTGGTGAGTTGCCGAACCCAACGAATACATTCTGAAGTCGGATGGGGTGACGGATTAGGGTGCCCCTCTAGCAGGGGAGAGCAGGGACTGCCCCGGGAAAGGGGGCCGCTGGCGAAGTTAACCACCCTGTAACAACATACATACATACATACAATTCCTCCCCTCCCAAACTCCCCATCCCCCCCACCAGTAGCACGCCATGAGCGGCTCCGCAAGCTCGTCCTCGTCTTCATACCACAGCGCCCCTCCATCCGTACTGCCCGACGGCTCCCGACCGCTCAGAAGGTCCTCCATGCGCCGCCGGGTGGCGGCCAAACGGTCACGAACCTGCGAATGTGTGAGTGGCGCGAAAAAATGACAAAATCCAATTTGCAGTATCTTTTGAATTCATGGATTTCGGATTTATGACATTGGGATTGGATTCGTGGACATTCAAATAATGACTAGATAACTGTACGTACATACGTACATATATCCATCCATCCATCCATCCAAAACACACACGTGCATATGCTTACGTGTCCGAGGACGATGCGGTACGGGTGAAAACCGGGGTGCTCGTGTGCCCGGGCAAACTGTACGGGCGCCGTGCCAGTCCGCTGCGCCATCAATGTACGGCGCATCAATGTTGGATCCAGACAGCTCTGCGCGCGCGCCGCCGCTGCCGCCGGATCAGCCGTCGCACCAGCTGCCGCCAGCTTGGCGGCGGCAGCGGCGCCGGACGCCGCCGCCGCGCCGGACGCTGCCGGCGTCGGCGGTAACGCGGCGGCGCCGCCAGACCATCTCGCCGCCGTCGCACCGGGACCGAACGGCGTGGCGTTGGCGTTGGGAGTTAGCGGCGGTACGGCATCCGGGGTGCCGGGGTCAGCAAGCATTAACGCTTCGACAGCGGCTGTGTCAACTAGTACCGCAGGTACGGCAGGTACGGCAGGCAGGACAGCCGTAGCAGAGAGGGGCCCCCCGTCGGAGGATGTACGACGAGGTCGAGGGCTGCTGCCGGTTTCTCCGTCCGAGAGTGAAAATTCGAATTCAGAGCCACCTTCAACCTCATCCTACAAACAATTTTTGATCATAATTTGTTGTTTTAGATTTTTGGCAGGGCAGAAGGATACCCCAGAATGAGCGAGTTACGGAGGTACATATTATGAGGAAAAAAAACACAAGATGAATAAAAAAAATGGGAGAATCAGGAATGACGCCGAGTAGTAGAGAATGGACGTTTTGAGTCAAGGTCAATGCGGAAATGTAAAAAAGTCAACAGGAGCGATGCAGAACAGCAAAATGTTAATCTCCCGCTGCCGTACTGTGGTGGTTGTACGACGAACGAACAGTACATAACCTCAGGATGGGAGAAACGAGTGTATTTACGACATGTTACGACACGTACCTGGCCCGGCAGGTCGTGCGGTACGGAAACCTCCGCCGCAGTGTGGGACGAGATGGGCTGCGTCCCCAGGATCATGCCTCCAGGGAAGGCTGCGCCGGCGCCGCCAGACAGCACGCCGACGCCGCCGTCAGCGGATGCCTTGCCGATGCGGCGACGGCGATGATGCTCCGCGGGCGCCGGCAGCGCCAGCGGGACATCAACGTCGATGCCGACGCCGTTGACGGCGGCTGCTGCGCCAGGGGCGGCGGCGGCTGCCGCCGCCGCTGCTGCTGCCGCGGCGGCTTCCGAGCCGCCATGGGATGCCGCGTCGGCGGCGCCTTGGGTTGCTGCGGCGGCGGCCTTGGCCCGTACGACTCCGGCCTTCCTGGAGTTGCTGTCGGAAACAATCCGTCGAGCCATGCGCCAGACGGCAGCGCTGCACTGACTCATCGACAGCTGCGGGAGGTTCGTTGGGTGGCGGTTAGGTGGTAGTTAGCAGGTGGTTGGGTCTTAAACCCAACCAACAAAACCCCCATTTTATTGGCGAAAAGTGCCAAGCCGCACAATTTGCTTTAAAACCTACCCACACATCTAACCTACCCTCCGCCCTTTCCCCCCTTTCCCCTTCTTTCCACCCCGCCCTTTTGCCGTACCTCAAACCTCAGCGTGTCGATTTCCCTCAGGTACAGGTCCGCCGCCATCCAGCGGGCCAGTGCGGTGACGTGCGCCGTAACGGTGGCGGTTACGTTGGGGTTGCCGTCCCGGTCTCCGCCCATCCAACTGCCGAACTTGAAGGGCGTCGCCTGGTGGTGCCAAGGGTGTGGCTTAGTCGCCTTAGTTTGGAGAGAGGATGGGTGGGTGGGTGGGTGGGTGGGGGAAAGACGAACCACAAAAGAGCTAACGCGTCCTACTGACGCCGTGTGACCCGTGCGGGTTTCGTTTGTACATCTACACATTCAAGCCCCCAGCGACCCCCGACCTTCCCCCGAACCCCTTCATGCTTCATCCCGCCAGAGCTCTTAGTTTCCCCAAACCCCCAAAAGGCACGAAACGCACACGCAAACACGCGCGCACCCACGCATCCCCATCCCCCCACTCCACCACACCCCATCCCCCCCAACCCTCCACATACCCAACCCTCCCCCCCCACACCCCCACACACACATACACACACCGGCACACCTGCAGCGGCAGGTCGTGTCCGGTGTACTTCTTCAGAGCCGCACTAAGCCGCCGCATGTACTGCGGTACGGCAGCCCACAGAGACTGCTCCACGATGTGCAGCCCACCTCGGGCCTCTACATGACACAGGTACGACGGGGTTTGACGGATTCAGACTTTTAAAAAGATAAAAGATAAAACACATATACGTACACTCAGGCAGGCGGCTGGCAGAGGTTAAGGCCTGACTTCTGCTCCGGGCCGACCCGGGATCAAATCCGCCTGCCGGCTCCTCGGGTGTTTGAGAAGTGTTGAAATGGGAGGTGGTCCCCCATCTTGTGGACGATGTAGGACGTGATAAAATCAACTTGCGAGCTGACCAGGAACTAAGTTGATGCGCCATTGATCCGCTAGATTTCGTTGGATGCTGGTGGTGAATTGCCGAACCCAACGAATATATCCTGAAGTCGGACGGGGTGACGGATTAGGGTGGCCCTCTAGCAGGGGAGAGCAGGGACTGCCCCGGGAAAGGGGGCCGCTGGCGAAGTTAACCACCCTGTAACAACATACATACACACATATGCATACATACATACATACATACATACATACATACATACATACATACATACATACATACATCGTTCATACCATGTTGAACACTGCCCATCCCATCAGCACTGGGCACATAAGCAACATTGGGCCAGATCAGTAGTACGGTGGGGGACCACGTGCGAACCCCTGGTGACGATCTGTTTTATAGGCAGGCGGCTGGCAGAGGTTAAGGCCTGACTTCTGCTCCCAGTCGACCCAGTCGACCCGGGTTCAAATCCGCCTGCCGGCTCCTCGGGTGTTTGAGGAGTGATGAAATGGGAGGTGGCCCCCCATCTTATGGACGGTGTAGGACGTGATAATATCAACTTGCGAGCTGACCAGGAACTAAGTTGATGCGCCGTTGATCCGCTAGATTTGGTTGGATGCTGGTGGTGAGTTGCCGAACCCAACGAATACATTCTGAAGTCGGATGGGGTGACGGATTAGGGTGCCCCTCTAGCAGGGGAGAGCAGGGACTGCCCCGGGAAAGGGGGCCGCTGGCGAAGTTAACCACCCTGTAACAACATACATACATACATACATACATACATACATACACACATACATACGCACCATCCAGGGGTGTGGGCTTTTGCCGCCGCAGTTCGTCAGTCTGCCACAGCGCCGCCACCTCCCTCTGCAGCTCCGAAACAATGTTCCGACGCTCCTCCGAAGTCAGGTCGGATCTGAATAAAATTTGAATTTAAAAATTCAAATTTAAAATTGGATAGCTCCACACCGCCAAAGAAGTCAACAAAAGATGATAAAAATAGCATTTTAACGCAACTTTCACGATTTTGATTACCGTACTCAGCCGTACAAAACAAATGTACACATATGCCCTTTACCTGTCGTGCTGCTGCAGCAGCGCCGCGATGCGTGTGTGTTTGTACTGCAGTGTACGGCGGTTGACTTGCGTGGGATGTGCCGTCAGTACGATCTCCACCTGTTGCTCCGAAACCGCCCGGTACAGGTCCTCCGCATCGACCCCTTCCGTGATGAGGCGGGAGAACACGTTCTCGCAGCTGTTGACGTTAGGCTCGCGCTGAGAGCGGTCCCGACGAACACTGCAACATGATCATGATGCACAAGATAAAAAAGAGATGGCGAATGCGAGTTTAAAGGTTAGATGATGATAAAAGAAGAGAGCAACAGGATTTGTTCAAATCAGCCATGCTGCGACGGCAGCACCTAGATAGTAGTTTGCCCGCGTCCGTGTCTCTCTCTCTCTCTGTCTGTTTGTCTGTCTGTCTCACGAAACTTCCCCAACACACGGAAAATCAAAGACGTCCCTGACACCGTTCGTACGTTTCCCCCGTTTCCCCTTTCCGGAGGTTGGTTCCCTCCTCAACTCTTACATTACATGCTTCCCCCTTTGTCTCCTTTCTAGCCTCCCCATCCCCCTTCCTCTCTACACCCCCCCATCCCCCTTCCTCTCTACACCCCCCCCACCCCCCGCACTGCCCCCCCGGTTACCCGTGGTGCAGCTCCGCAATCCCACTCAGGTTGAGGTAGTGTCCACATGCGCGAGTGAGGGGCACCGCCTCCTCCATCTCCAACGTCATCAGCTCGTCAGCCAGCCGCTGGGATATCATGGAGGAGGCAACCTGGTGGGCAGGTGTACATACATACACACATACGTATATACATAGGTATATACGTATACACGCACATACATGGAGTGTGGGGTAGGGCAGGGTTGAATTTAGGGGATGCGGGAACGATTTACAGCAAACAAAAGGACGAGTATAAAAAAGATAGCAGCTCTGGTCGAGCACTGGGTTGAGGTAGTAGGTTGGGAAGTAGTGAGAATATGTGGCAGCGGCTGACGGCTTGAGTTTGCTCCCATGTTGGCTATAACGACAACCACCTCAACCACCATAACCACCACTTACCGCATCTCCCTTGAGCGAGAGCGTGGAGGCGCACTGTGCCAGAGTGCGGATGCGCTCGATCTGTTTTTGGTGTCGTTTGGCAGAAACGGATTTAGGGCGGCGGCATGGCTATTGGTAAAAAGGTCATCGGGTTGGGGCCAGGAAACAGTCGGGGCCTAGTCAACCTGTGTAAGTTCCCTTTACTTTGGAAGCATGGCGGTCGTTCTATTGTATCAGGGTTGGAGCTGCTGGAATGATGTCCAACAGCGGTGTTGGAGGTTTTTATGAAAGGGAATACGCGAATTTGTCGGAAGTGGACAATTGGACGAGCCCGTTGGAATGCGATTGCTCAGCTAAGCAGCGCTACGCTGATGGTAGCTCTGTTTCGGGGAAAATCGACCTGGAAATGGTTGGTGAGAGGACAAGACCGTGCTGACCTTCTTGAAGAGTCCCTCGCCGACCTCCACGCGTAAACATTCATCCAGCAAACTTCCAAGGAGTTTGCAGTCATCTTCTAGGGGGGTAAGATCATCCTGCGCATTACACGTAGGCAGCGCCGTCAGAAATCGCTGGAGCTCCAGTTCCATCAAACGCCAAACCATGCCGACAAACTCCAACATCACCAATTGTTGACTCACCCTAACAGCTCCAAAGTCGTAAGTGGAATCTGTCATCCTTGCGGAACAAGCTTCTGCACGCGTACAACCCAAACAACCTAACACCACGTGTCGAGGGTTCTGCAAATTGCAGTCCTCAGGGCGCCCACAATTCGCCTCCCAATCTAATATAACTTCACCGTAACATTTGACATCGAAGATTATTTCATCGCTAGGGGAAGTAGGGAGTTGAAAGCGCTTAATTCACGGCAACCTCCGAAACCAAGGGCTGTATTCATCTGTACCATTAAAGTCTCGGGCGCGTTGTATTTGGCACAGTAGCTCCTCAGTGGCAATCATGCTGGCATCCAAGCAGTCCCAGGCGACCACTCGCAACGTCTGCTCCAAGGAGCCCGTCATGTCAGGTGCGTGGGTTACGCAGCAGGTCAACTCATCGCTACCATGCCTTCACATAGTGCATAATGTATTGGCTCTCGTTAGTCGATATATGCCGGCGGTGTTCGGCGTTTCGCTGCTTAACGCATGCTCGTTCCAGACGCAGCCCGGCGGCCGATAGGGGCCCAACGCTTCAAGATCAGCCAATCTCATATCATAATTGAATTCAATTATCATCCATTGTTTACCGGTCCGGGCAAATACACTATCGGCCATAATCCGCCGAGCCATTAATGAGCCTGCAGGCGTTACAAGCTCTCTCGTCCGTCCACGTCCGACGGCATATGCCTCCCTTGTACCAAATGCTTACAAACGCTTAGAAACCTTTTGAGTTTTAATCCTGCTGCGTACTCGTTTCATCCTGCTAATCTTCCCTATTTGCCTACCTCCATCTACGTTCCTCATCTCTTCCCGTTCCCCAATTTTACCTCTTCGACGCGTAGCCGCGCTCCGGGCCTCTGCTGGCGCTGCCGTGCGCCCCTTCTCCTCATCTTCCTCCCTGAACCGCCTGGCCTCCAGCCATGCCAACGGCAGCGCCTCCCGCACCGCTCACAGCAAGCTGGCTCGCGGCCGCAGCGCGCTCAACGTCGTGGCCATGGCGGGCGAGGGCCAAGGTACGGCACGCTAGCGACGAGCGTTACGCATACCTGTGACACGAGGCGAGCCCGTGAAAGTTAGAGGGCACAGGGGGCTACAGGGTGTACTTGCGTTCCCACAGATGGTGGCCATGTCCGGGTGGGTTGTAGTCAAGAAGTGACTTGACCCACATCAGGGTTGGCGTTGATCACAGCCAAAACACACACACACACACACACACACACAGCCAACACACACACAGCCAACACACACACACACACAGCCAACACACACACACACACAGCCAACTGAGTATTGGCAGTCTCGGCCACCGCCATCGCCAACCCCACGACAACCCCATGTCTACACCTCCGTCACGCCCGCGGCTGCCACGGCCACATCCCCGTGCGGTGGTGAAGGGAGTTGATTGAGACATGTTTACAATCTCTTATTAATTAGTGACACGAGAGACATACAGACATACTTCCTGATCGGGTACTTGGGCACCACATGCGGTCTGGGTCGGTGGCAGCTTTAGCTGATCTGGGTCGATCGGGGTTTCGACGCCGCGGCTTCGATTGATGGACCAAATTGGTGACCCAGATCAATTTCAAGTGCATTCCTCATCCTGATCCTGTTTGGCGCTGGCTCTATCAGTAGCAGTGTACGTTTTATTACCTTCGCACACATTCACATACACGCTCCGTTCCCGTTGGGATACGGTTAGGTGCATCTGGGCAGCGTCAGGCCCAGATGGATGCGTACACACACACACTCTCTCTCACACACGCTCTCACACTCCCATACACACATTGTGTGGGGGGGTGTATGGGTTATCGTGTCGTACTAACACATGTGTTTGGTTCGTACGCTCTACCCCCATCCCAACCCCCCGTCCCCCATGATTTTGATTCATTTCCCCCATACCCCCGTTCACACATACATACATACACACACGCCCCCTCGCACATGCAGCTCCCAAGCCCGTGTGCCTCGTAACCGGCGCCTCACGCGGTATTGGCAAGGCTATCGCTCTGGCTCTGGGGGCGCAGGGAACTCGGGTGAGCGGGGGAGGTCTAGGTACCTGGGGGTTTGGCGGGGGGAGGGGTCCTGAAGGGCGGAGCTCTGAAGGGAAGCAGCCCCTGGAAAGTGGGGAGATAGTTCCTGCTCAGATCACGAAGGTGTTCTCGAGTGAGGTGATCACTGTGCGGTGAGGTGGGTTGGGGTGAGTGGGTTTTGTCCGTGGGGGGAAAAAGTTGGGGGGGAGGGGGGAGATTGCGGGTTTTGTTTTGTTTTTGGGTTTTGTTTTTGGGTTTTGAGGCTTGGAAGGATGAAGGAGGGAGGGGGCTTGGAAATGGAGAAGCCCAGGTCTTGAAGCCCAGTTGTTACCCCATGCGGGGGAGCTAGGGGGATCGACAAACTGCTAAGTTGGTTGGGTCGGTTGGACGAGCTGAGCGGATGTACCGGAACTGGGAACTGGATCCGGGGTCCCTTGCCCCCTTGCCGCGTGTCGTACTTCCTTTCCTCCCCAGCTGCTTGCTCGTACACACACTTGAGCTCTTGTGCGGTGTACGGCGATGTACGGCCTCTTCAGGTTGCGATCAACTACGCGGCTTCTGCGGCCGCGGCTGAGGAGGTGGCTGCGGCGGTGGTGGCTGCGGGGGGTGAGGCGATGGTGGTGGGCGCCAACGTGGCGAAGCGGGAGGAGATCGAGCGCATGTTCAAGGAGGTGGCGGAGAAGTGGGGGCGTCTGGACGTGCTGGTCAACAACGCGGGTGAGTGGGGGGAAGGGAGGGAGTTGGGAAGGGAGGGAGTTGGGAAGGGAGGGAGGGGGGAAGGGAGGGAGGGGACAGGGGGAGAGGGGGGGAGGAAGAGACGAGCCACGAGCGAGTGAAGCTGCTGCCAAGGAAAGACTGCTGCGGCGGGGGGCCCCAGGGCGGGGGGAAGTAAGGAAGGAATGGAGGTTTAGGTAGAGGAGTACGGGCAGGGAGAGGGACGTTGGAGACTAAATGTGAGGAGGAGGAGGAGGAGGAGGAGGAGGAGGAGGAGGATGGGTGTTGGGGAGAGAGGGGTTTTCTGTGTAGGAATGGTTCATTGGGAATTTCCCTCCGCCCCGAGGGCGCCGTGTGCGACATGCTGAGGCGCTCATCTGTCTGTCTGTCTGTCTGTCTGACAGGCCGCTGACGATTTAGATCGCCGCAAGGCCCCGCATTATTGTGTGATGTCCGTCTGTCTGTCTGTCTGTCTGTCTGTGCATCTGTCGGCGTCACGCGTCCATGGGTCGTCCATCACGGTGTCGTCGTGACAGACACACACGTGCGGACGTGTCGGCGTCCCCCCGTACGGTGGGGGACCCCCCGGCCCCACTCTATGATGGCGACCCACCCACACACCCACCCCCCGACCCCCTCCCCCTCCCCCTTCCCCCCCAAAGGCATCACTCGCGACACGCTCATGATGCGCATGAAGCCCGAGCAGTGGGACTCAGTCATCGACACCAACCTCAGCGGCGTGTTCTACTGCACCCAGGTGTGAGCGTGCATGTATGTATGTTGTTACAGGGTGGTTAACTTCGCCAGCGGCCCCCTTTCCCGGGGCAGTCCCTGCTCTCCCCTGCTAGAGGGGCACCCGAATCCGTCACCCCATCCGACTTCAGAATGTATTCGTTGGGTTCGGCAACTCACCACCAGCATCCAACCAAATCTAGCGGATCAACGGCGCATCAACTTAGTTCCTGGTCAGCTCGCAAGTTGATATTATCACGTCCTACACCGTCCACATGATGGGGGGCCACCTCCCATTTCATCACTCCTCAAACACCCGAGGAGTCGGCAGGCGGATTTGAACCCGGGTCGACTGGGAGCAGAAGTCAGGCCTTAACCTCTGCCAGCCGCCTGCCTAGATGTATGTATGTATGTACCTATGTATGTGTATTTTTAAAATGGACTGATATATTATCTCATATATCTCAAAATATGAGTCGAAATTCCAAGACCAAGCAAGCTATGTCTGAGGTCACCGCGAAGGAAGTTTTTATTTTTCTTTTTTCCCCTTTTTACCCTAAGCCCTCACTGAAAATGGCATATGGCATTTATTGTTCTTTATTAAAATGCTGCTTGCTGCTGCAGCTTCATTTTTTGCATATGTGTTTCCTTTTTTGTTTCCGTTTTGCATCTGGGTTGAGTTTTCCTTTCCTCCCCCTTTCCTCATTCCCCGCAACGAAATGATGTTTTCCTCCTCCCCCTCCTCCTCCCCCTTCAAGGCCGCTACCAAGGTGATGAGCAAGCAGAAGAGCGGCCGCATCGTCAACATCACCTCAGTGGTGGGTCTTGTGGGAAATGCAGGTCAAGCCAACTACGCGGCCGCCAAGGCCGGTGTCATCGGCCTGACCAAGACCACGGCACGTGAGTGGGCGCCGCGGGGCATCACCGCCAATGCGGTGGCCCCCGGCTTCATAGCATCCGACATGACCGCCGCCATCGACAAGAAGTACGAGGAGGGCATCCTCAAGGGCATTCCCCTCGGTGAGGCGGGCTTGGTGGATTTGCGGTGTAGCTGGGTCGGGTTGGGTTGGGTTGGGTTGAGTGGTGAAATGAATGTGTGTATGTGTCTGAGCCACGATTTGTGTATGTGTGTGTATATGTATGTATGTATGTGTGTGTGTGTGCCGTGCGAAGGTCGTGTTTGCAGCTTCGCACAAAACTGAGCGTTCATGTCTGGCTAGGCAAGTTCTTTATCTTCTCGAGACGATGGGGGACTTGGGGAATCTGCTGTCCCACTTGAGGCTCCGCCAACCGCTGCAACTGCAACTACCTAACCGCCAGGTCGTTACGGTCAACCGGAGGAGGTTGCTGGGTTGGTTCGTTTCCTGGCCTTGGACCCCGCCGCCGCGTACATCACCGGGCAGGTTTACAACGTGGATGGGGGCATGGTGATGTGAGGAGACGGAGATGGAGATGATGAGGAGGAGGAGATGGAGACGGAGATGGAGATGGAGGAAGCAGCAGGGGTACCTACAGACTTACACACACGCGCCTACACACACACTTACACACAAGGGCTGGGGACCCCCACGACGGAATGGGATCTAGAAATAGAGAAGGGAGAAGACGACCTCCGCGCTTTGGCACATGATTTGAAGATCACCAAAGAGATCAGCAAGCACAGACCTGGAGGAGTTCTGAGCGGCTGCGTGAGGACACACACACACAAATATACATACATACATACACACACACGGAGAAACGCGAACATGCACGCATCTTTCAATTTTTGTTTTTTTGGTGTGTGTGTTGTGTGTGTGAGTGCGTGTGTGTGTGTGTGTGTGTGTGTGTTCCGTGAAACAGCAGAAGCTTCCCGAGAAGACGTGTAGAGCACCCCCCCACAGGGGCACTTCGCAGCTGGACCCCCCGCCCAAGAAAGGTAAAGCTCCGGGCGGAGAGCTGAGGACCTCAACGGTGGACGATGGGGTGCGATGTGTGCTCCAATCCGTAATCAGTCAGCCTCACCTCGCAGCCTCACCCACGAAGACGAGGAGGGGGCTCCCTTGCGCCCTCGTATCCTCGAGGGGTTGATGTCCCCAATCGGCTGGTGTGTGACCTTTTTTGTGTTTCGGGATTGGTGTGGTAGTGGGGAGGGTGAGCCCGGGGCGGCAGTGGAGGAATGGGATGCGGTTTGCCCTTTGCGCTCTGCCTTCTTCTTCTTCTTCTTCTTCTTCTTCTTCTTCTATCGAACGCATCGGGAGCTGTCCACCACGCGTGAGCCTGTGTAAAAAAATATTATACAAGTAATTTATTGGGCAAAACTCGCCGCTCTTGTTGAAGTTGCGTCGGAGTATGTCAAGGAGAGGGTCGGATGACCAAGTCATTATCGTTTTGGCATAATCCACTCCTATCTAGTTGGGGGTTCCCCGGACTTTCATACCAGCTGCAGCTGAGAGCTGCGGGGCTCTCTTGGCGCTTCTTTCCCCCCGTTTTGACTTTGCACAAATAAATCACATACATAGTCCTACGCTGCCAGGACTGCCAACAACCAAGATGAAGGGTCAGGCGGTAGGGCACGAGGTGAAGTGACACAGCCTAAAGCCCAAGGTGGGATATATCCCACCACCTTGCAAGGTGGGATATAGGTAGCGGGTATAGCGGGAAGTACCTTTGACATTTTTGCGCTTCATGCAGACTTGCAGAAACTGATTGGCCCGAGGCAAACTTACGTAAAGAGATCTCGTTAGGATGCGATCATTACGGAGGAGGACAGGGAACCAACTAGCCCTACCAACCTGCATCACTAGCCTTACATGCTAGCAATTTGCGTTAAGCCAACCAACCCTAGAGCATGTACTCTCAGCAATCTTATACATGAAAATATATATGTATATATATGTCACACACACACACACACTCTTCAAACCTCACCCCAACAGCGGGATCAGGCCGGGGATGAAGAGGAGTCCTGTTGTGTGTTTCAGGCTCAGTGCGCAAACTCGCGTGACGGAGCCTTGACTCGTGAGAGCCTTGTTCACCATGTTCGCGCGGAAAGTCGCAACCTGGGAAAAGCGACTATAAAGATTTAGCTTTTATAGAATGCTAGATCTTGCGCTTTAGCTGGCTCGTCTGGGTTTTAAGATATCGCCAGCTTGGAACATCACATAATCAAACTGCATTCACTGCAACTCGGAGCGGGCCATGGCTGGCCATGGGCTAAGCAAGGTTGACAAGGTTGATAAAATTGCAACACAGACATGGCGGGCGTTAGGTGAAAGAGCATGGATATATACATACATACATACATTCAGATGTGTTTAAGTGGCCCAGAAGCGTCCCACTCTGTAACAACAACATACAGATAGACAGACAGATAGGCAAGCGAGCGAGCGAGCGAGCACCCACGGACGCACACATACATACGTACACACCAATTCGTGCTGACAGACTGACAGACTGACAAGCCGACAGGCCTAAAGAGGCACTAAAGACCTGGAATGGGTCACAAGGGCGCCCGGAATGCGCGTGAGCATCATCACCATCATCCCATCATCATTTTGTCGCTTGGGTACGTGCTTGTAATAATATGGTACGAATATTGCCCACCTCCGACCACCTAAGAACTCCACAAAAACGTATTTCTTAACGTGAGCGATGCCTCGTCCCTCACGCACTGCATTAACACACGCGATGTTGGACTTGGGGTGTGTTGCGTGACACATGAGTGATATATATACACTTCTATATCACATCTGGTCCTATGAAATACACTTTCAAAAGACACGAGCCTAATCTTGTGCAACCACCCACAAAGATGTAGGGGCCCCTTTTAGCAAAGAGTCGTGGAAGTAGGTGAGCGCCCTGGGGTGGCGGGCGTGTGTGTTTTTGGGGGAGGACAGGAGGGGTTGGAGCAATCCGGGGATATGAACTCCCCAGCTCGCAGGAGTCGTAGAAACCCAACCCAAGCAAACGCATGTGTGCAGCGACCCCCAGCCCGCCCCCAAGGGAACACATGCAGGCCTTGAGGGAGAGACTCTTCTGCGAGAAATGCATTTCTGTATGCAAAACACACGTGTACGCGTGCGGTACTGTACTTGCTCGCTTGAATCACGAGATCACACTCCAGCTATTTGAAAGGGCTGCAGGCAGCTGCTGCTGCTGCTGGTGGGGCGGCTGCTTTCGCAACTCAGACAGGAAACACAAATACATACACACACACACACACAGAAACACACACACGCACGCACCATCCACCCAGCAGCAGCAGCAGCAGCAGAAGCTCACACCACAGCCCATGCACACGCCCTTGACGCTAATAAAGTATCCAGTACGACACCGTGTTCCGTACCCCTCATCTCGTCCCCTTTCCCTAACCTCGGACAGGACATCGCACTTTTCCAAAGAGACAGCCAGGCAGTCAGCCACGAGGACGGACAGACAAACAAGTAAACAGATATAGACAGCGAGGAAAAGAACGAAGCACATTTTCAACAACATGCTCCCTTCCACATCAACCTGCTCATCCATCAACTTACAGTCCACAGCACTGTCTTCTAATAAAAACCAGTTTTCATGCCCCGCTCCCCGAAGACGCACTCAGGGCATTCTCAGAGAGAGGAGCGCGCAAAGGGATGTGTACGTGATAAGACAAGACCATAAAAGGCGTTTTTCCTTTTTAACATGTATGCCCTCCCCCGCCCCTTTGCCCTGCTGTGATTCAACCAAGCGACTGCAAAATCGAGAGTGCAAAGACGGCGTGTGCGTGCGCGATCAGCGCGCGATAGGGAACTTATGTTGTGTTGTACCACTCTGTCGATGCAACAGGGGCCCCACTGCTAGAGAATGCAAAGCTACGGCGCCCCTTCCCTCCCTCCCAGGCTCGCCCTCCAACAGGTGCTCTTCTTCTTCGTCTTCTTCCATGAAGGGGAGGACGTTTCCTGCCTGGGCCAGACGAATAGGGTTTGAATGGCGATTAAGAAAGAGACAAGGCAGGACCCCCGCGGATGGGGGGGGAAGGGAAGGGCTGTCGACAATACTCGTTGTGGTTGGCTGTTGGCTCTCGCCTTTGTTGGTGGTGTTTTCCAGGCCTTTTTTTAATTATTTGTAAGGCCCGCCAGTTTCTTACATGCGCACACAGCCACACAACCCCCACGACACCAAATGAATTTATGCAAAATCAGTCATTGTAATTGGTCGCCAGCAGCTTTCCTAAGCAAAGGGTTGCCGTTAACGGTTGACAGTTAGCATACAACCGACCACTCTTTCGAGTCCAACCCTTCAATGTCCCGCGGCGACACAATCTAAGACACAGTGAAAAAAGCACAGATGTCAGCATATAGCAGTGTAGTGTACACAGTAAGCAGAGAAACATGCACACAAACACATACAAGCACCCAGTCCGAGAAGGTCAAATCAGCGGCTGCGGCTGCGGCTGCTATTCCTGCCGCCTTGCGCGTTCGTTTCACATCCCACCAGATCGCTACGGAGCTAAGGGGCCCGCGCTCGCACGCGCACGCGCGCACACGCCGGCAAGGCAAGGCAAGGCAAGCTCACAACTGATGAAAACAGTTGCCTGGCGCTCCTTGCCTTTGCTCTGGGCGTGGCTTTGCTTTGCTTGCTTGCATTTTTAAGGAGGATTGTACAACGGGGAAACGGCGATAAATCGGCAACACAAAAAACAACTCAGAACACACGGTGTTGTTGCCCTCTCCTAGACCCGAGCTGAGCTTTCCCCCTTCCCATTCCCGTCCCCTCCCTCCCCCTCCCCCTCCCCCTCCAACCCCATGTCTCTCCTACCCAGGGGCCGGTACAGCCGCAGCGCCTTCCTTTCAGCGCCAGCGGTAGGCCGGCCAGCGGTATTACCGACCACACACTACCACCCATTTCAGCAATCATCTCCCAACTACCCCCAACGTAAACCAGAACCTAGCAGCAAGCAGTGCTCACCAATCCTGCAGTAAGGCAACAAAAGACAGGCTGAGGACCCCTTCGACCCCCTGCCGCTGCGGTTGTGCCTTACTTCAAGGCTCATGCAAAGCTAGGAAAGAAACGTTTCCAAGCATCTCCCCACCTCCTCCTCCTCCTCCTCCTTGTCCACCACCACATCAGGGGTTAAGACCACAGCCAGTTAATACCCAGAATCTACTAAATAAACCCGCACCGGGATGGGACCCAATGCGTCAGCAGGATCAGAATCCCCCTGGTTCTTCTTTTTCCACTCCACCGCTGGCCGCATCAATGGGGTTTTCAATTTTCTAACCTCCCCAGTCCTCCGCCACCCTGCGTTCCACACCCTTCCCTCTCACCCGACCTCTCTCCCCGCTTTTTTTTCCTCCTGCAGAGCCGTCCTATACCTACACATACAGACATACAATGTCGCCGGGCTCCTATATAGGCGCCCGGTACGCTGTGAAACAGAGGCTTCAACCCGTTTCTTCCTTCGCAACCAGGCAATATGGCGCCAGCAATCGCCAACCGCCAACTGTGTGGGCGTGAGTACGGCTGGTTAAAAACACAGCCACGCGTCGCCAGCTTATCTTCATCGCGGAAGATGTATTTCAATCGCAGCGGCGAAAATGTCCCAATTAGGAAACGCGACGCAAAAACGTGCAAATGCTCGCAGACGGCCCATGGCGCATGCCGTCCTCAAACTAACGGCCAACGGCCAACGGCCAAACGGCAAAAATAACCTCCATCTAAGTATCCCTGGGGACCCACAAGCGGGATGAGAGTAGGTGTATCAATCCATCCGCTATCAAGTTTGTTGCCGCCAAACCCTACACCGTATAACGTTTCTTTATATTTCTTTCCATTCTGCACCTCGCACGCAGGATGATAGGGAATGAAATCTCTTAGGAGATGCAGTTCGACGAGGAGGAGGAGGAGGAAGAGGAGGAATACGGTCGGGCAACGAGGGATGCATTTGTTGTTGTGTTATTGCTGGGACATCCCGCCCTCTCCCTCTCCCTCTCCCTCCCCCTCTCTCTCTCTCCCTCGCTCCAGGCTGATGACGACAACAAGGCGGCGGGTACAGAAAGAAAGAGAGGGGCATCCCACCACCTCTTCCTCACACACCTTCCTTTCTGCTCTTACACACGCGCCGTCGCGGGTCGCCGTGCGAGCGTATCCATATTCACCGCCCCGTTGCCGCCAGCCAACCGCTCCAACGACCTGCCGTACCGCAGCTGTTCCATTGCCTGTGACAGTTGTTGCCGTTGCATCGACGCCGCCATGTTAGTGTCCTTCCGAACCCGCATCAGCAACTGCCGATCCCGCATCATTCGGCGCGTCCGTTCGTAATCGTCCATGATGCGTTCTAGCAGCGCTTGCCGCTGGTAGAGGTGCACCTTGGAGATCTCGTCCACGCGGTCGAGGCGGCGTTTCAGTTCGAATTCTCGCTCCACTCGGCGAATGTCCATCTCGCGCTTACGAGACGCGGCCAGCTCAGCTAGCTCTCGCTCCTTAGCCTCGGCGCGTTCCCGGAGGGCCTAAAAGGGGTTTGGGAAGCGGGGGGGGGGGTTGAGGGTGTGTGGTGTGTGATGTTGAGAAGAGGTAGTAATGGGGGAGCGAGAGTGGTGAGGTGTGTGTGAGAGGGAAGCGGGGAATGAATGCACAGGTCGTGAACGCGGTGAGAGGCGCCGAGAGGGAATGAATGTGTCCAATTTCCATGTCCAAGCAAACAATATAACGGTAATGAAACACCGACACCAGCACACAACACTTTACCCCCTTACACGACGCCTCTGGTGACAACGGCGCTCACACCGATATATACAGTATTATTCTTGTGCACCCACTTCGGCTTGTTTTCGTACCACGGCGGCTTTTAGGCTAATTAATAAAAAACACACATAATAACACTTCCTCCATCATAAAGTATCGCTCCCTCTTCCCTCTCTACTCCTTCCCCCCTCCACTCCTCATCACTCATCACACGTCTCCTCAAGGGGCCCCCTTCAGACAGCCAGCCGCACCACAGGGCACCGCGTATATCGCCACCCAACCCACCTTCTTCCTCGCCTCCTCCATCTCCTGCGCGGTAAGGTACTTCTGGTGGCGCTCCTGCTCCCGCTGTATCTCCTGTTGCCGCCGCTGCTCCATAGCCAGCTTCTCCTGCCGCTCCAGCTCAGACCGCCGGGCCTCAGCGTCCCGCTCGCGGCGGATAAACTCCTCCCGCTTCTTGCGCAGAATTTCGCTGTTGGCAGTCAGTGCGCCTGTGGGGCGGGTCGGGAGGGTCGGGAGGGGGGGCTTTGTTAAGGTGGTCGCACAAGGCTGGGTTGGGATGGATTGGGATGGGTTAGGATGAGGGTATATATAGGGGTTTCAGTGCATCAATTCACGCGGACCAGGTGTGCGGGCCGGGTGCCGCAGATGGGTGTGCTGGTAATGAGTGGGGCCGTGTGACAGGCTGGCTGGAAACGGGGAATTCGGCTGTGGCTGCGAAATTGCTACTGTACCTGCCTCTGGCACGCCACAGCCCCTCTCCCCCTTCCCTGCCCCCACTTCCCTCCTCTTGAACCTACAAGCAGGTCCGTCCGTTTACACACGCACAAAGATTTTTCCACGGTAGTGGCAGATACGGCAACGCCGCCGGGGTGAAATCTGCGATCTTCCCCACATTCCCCCCCTTCCCCTTTCCTTTCCTTCCCCTTTCCTTTCCTCAATCCACCCATTCCATAATCAAAAATTATATTTGCATTCCATCACCCAATTTCCACCTCACTCCACCTCACGCCAACACTCACTGTTAATCCGCTCCTCCGCCTTTTTCCGCTTCTCCAAATTCGCCAAATGTCGTTCATGCGCCTCCTGCTGCAACCTCTTGCTCCGCTCCGCATCCGCCGCCTCCATCGCCTGCTTCCTCACCCGGACCTTCTCTGCCTGCTCCGACAAAATCCGCTCGGTCTCGGCGCGATGTTCCGCCGTCCGCTGACGGCGCTCCAACTCCCGCAGGTATGCCTCCTTCTTCAGCCGCTTCTCCTCTTCCTCCTTGGCCCGCTGGGCTTCGCGCTCCCTCCGGTACCGCTCCTCCGCCATGCGCTTCCCCTCCCGCTCCAACTCCCGTTGCTCCCTTAACCTTTGCAACTCAAGCTCCCGCTGGCGCACCATCCACTCCTTGTCGTGCTCGGCCTTCTGTCGCGCCATCTCCGCCGCGCGCGCCTCCAGGGCGTCGACCTTGCGCTGCTGCTTATCCGCAAGCTCCTTGCGCGCGGCCTCGTGCGCAATCATCTGCGCGATTTCCCGCTCGTGCCGCTTCCGGAGAACGTCCAGTCGTTGCCGCTCTTTTTCAACCATTGTGGAGCTGTTAGGGCGCCCGTCTTGGTTGCTGTTCGCGGCGGCCGCGGCCTTTTTGGCTGAGGAGGCGCCCGGGCGGCCTGGCTCGCCCGACCAGCCGTCGTCCACCAACTTCTTGCGCAGGTCAATGAGGGACTTAATCCGCTCACGACGGACCTTTGGAGGGAGGGGGTGAGGTGGGAGGGAGGGGGTGAGTAAAGTAAGAGTAAAGCTGTATCCGCTAGAAGGGGGTCAGAGAGAGCGCAGCACGGAGAGCACGGAGAGTGAGGCGAGTGCGGCGAGGCGGGCCGGTTGGGCCGGTTGTTTGCGGGGAGGCTGCAAGAGGTCATTGTGAAGCCTGATGAGCTGACGGGGTCGCGCTGATGGGATCGTCGGGCTTAAGGAGAAATGGACGTGTGGTTAATAGCGCATGTGTTCTTACGCCAAGGAGGTGTGCGCCGAGGTGCAAAGGCAGAAGGAAATCCAGAGAGGGCAGGGAGGCAAATCCAGGACGTGTAAAACGTGAAACGTGAAACACTCCGCAAAACAGACTCTGGGGTCCTATACAGCAGCGGCTCCAAGGGAGCTACTAACGCGGGCAGGCGGGTTCATATAACAGGAAAGGGGAGTAGATGAGCAGATTCGCGGGTGGTTCCGCCGGGCGTGAGGCGAGTAGTCGGCCGTAGGACAGGGCAAAGCGGGGCAAAGCGGGCAAAGCGTCAGCAGGCGGGTGAGTCGGCCCACGGCGGGCGCAGACAGCACTGCCGACCGCACGTCATCATACAAGCACGCCATCTATAAACGACAGTTCTATATAACCCCCCTGCCCGCCCGCTTACCTGTTCATTCTTTTCGTAACGTATCCTGGCAATCTCGTCCGTATCGCCCGTGTACTTGTAGTAGGCAAGGGGGTGAAACTGCAGCTCAATGGGGTCTACCCCCAGCCGGAAGCATGCCTCCACGGAGCGAGGGGAGGTCGGAATGAGCGCTTGCTCGGGGGCGTTGGGATCGTTCACCTACAAACAGAAAACAGAAGAACACATGACGGATAGAAACGGCTGAGTGGATTGCATTGCGGGGCTGCAGGCAGAGCTACGGGTGGTGTTTGGCGGGTATGAGACCAGCATCCCGTCCCCGGACCGGCTGCCGTTGTGGAGGTGCTGGACACGTCCACGGGATGGCAGCTTGCGCTTTAGGGTCGTCCCCGTTACTGGTTCTGCCCTGATGCCCCAGGAATAGGCGGCTATCACCGTCTGTGGCAGCAGCAGCTATTGCAGCGAGTAATGTCCGCTGGGGGCCATTCTGTGATCCTTGTGCATTATCCTTCCCAGTTCCCCGCACTTCCTAGCCGGGGAAATGCTGAGGGTCCACACCTTCTCAATGAGGTCCTGTTTGGAGTAAGGGGAGGCAAGGCGCGTGGCGGAGCGTGGGGTTAGCTAGGTTGGCAGAGACTAGGAAGAGATGATGCTAATGCGCTAGATGAGCTGGGAAGGACATGACAAAATACAAGCACATTCCAAAAATTCAAGGCCGAAGTACGGTTGTCGACCGACAGGCCACCACAAAATCCCACATGCTGCTACCCAGCTTACTTGTATGGTAATCTTTGGCTTTGCTCCTGACAGGCCTTCAACCTACAGCGCGACGAAGTTCCGTCAGCCGCTACGTGAGCGATTATACACGATGGCCTTCGAAGAAACTAGCCGCACCTTCGCTCTCTGCAAATCGGATAGCCATTCTATTGCTGGTCGATGATGTTGCTGGTTTGTAATAGTCATGTTAGGACCACCGTGGCTTGAAGTCAGGCACTCAGCACACCCTAATTGCGCTTTGAAGCGAAGATCACCACCAGGGTCCGCTGTCCCTCACTGCCTGCAAATCATAAGCACCATTTCAAATCGAAGCTTGGAGGATAACCAGCGGCACGGCCGCGCTGGTCGTCTGTAAAGCTCCTTTGAGTAACAGCTCAACAATACCTACTTGTAAACACCTGCAAGGCGCGTAGATAAGAACACTTTTATCTTATATACTCTTGTCCCTAGAGAAAAGAGGATGACCTCAGGCTCTCAGAGGAGAAGGATAGAAGCTTCGCATGTAATGTACGTTGCATTAATTTCATATCTATAAATTCATCACAGTCTCAGGAAAGAGCGATATGTGGAAGTAAGTTGAGGGTCGCGTCTCATGATGTTTGCGGATGGTACGTTCACTGAGGGGTCTTAGAGAGCAGCTGTCCAAACACGGAAATCCTCGGACATGCCCATTCGTCCGCAACCTTATGATATTTCCATGATTACATTGGAGTTAGCAAATTTGCCTATCAGTATATTTGTGTTCACACGCCACCCACAATTGATACAACCTGTATTCCCTCTCCCACCGCAACTCGAAAGAGCAAACTTAATACGGCTGCGTTCTTGATTTCCTTAGGTTGTATGGATGTTGGCACTGCCGACCGCCACGGCAGTCTGTGCTTTCCTACCGTTTTGCAGGTTCGAGTTTTGGCCGCCGCGCGCAAACTAGGCCATGTCACTGTTAACAGAATCATGAGGATGGCATCGTATTTTAAAAAGGGATCATGGTGTAGTTAAAGTTCTTGGCGACCCACGGGACGAAGGTGTGGTGTAGCAATTTAGCGCCGATTTACAAATTTCACAGACGTTTCGGAGCCACAAATCGCACCAGTCAAAAGCAAAGAATGAATGTCGACAAATAAACAAACACAAGCACCAATTCGACGCCACACCATGTCGTTTATTTCAAAGAGTGTAAATAGGCAAAAAAAAGACGGTCAGCACGGCGGTAACCCCTCAGGGCTGAAATCCGTGCGAATCGAGGCCTCCGAACAGGCATGCATGCGATGACAACATTCCTCATCGTGGATTGGATGGGTATCCACGACTCCCCAAAAAATTATTCTTCGGCCCCTTCAGAGGAGCACCAAGAAAGCAAGGACATTCCGCCGTACATGGTGGCATCGGCGCCGGCACTAACCACAAGGCAGGTGCGCTGTTTACTCGTAACGCCCGGGGGGAAGGCTTCTATGTAGCCACAGTCGCGGCGGCAGCGCGGCATTTACAGCCCCTGCCCCCCACACACGCATTCCACGTGGCGTACAATCTCTCTCCATGCAAGCAGAACCAAAAATCAAAAAACAGAAATAAAAAGTTTTCTGCAGCTGGTTTCGACGCGTATGTACTGTTGGCATGTACATGTGGGTTCCATCGGAAAAGGGCGAGAAAAATCATCGCCTACGACAAGGGCGCAGCGTCCGCGGCTGCGTGTACAGTTCGCAAGTAGCCAGCCCCCTTCTAAGAATCACCCATCGGATCAGATTTAAGCATTCATACAATCCAAACCCGGGGGTAGGCTCCACCCGAGTTCTACACGTCGCAGTTTTTCGCAGGCTTTCACTCTGGCCCGGATCACCAGGGCAAGGAAGAACCCAGGGCTCTCAATACACACAATACTCCTGCTGCTTCACTACACGTGAGCCGTCTCCTATCAGGTTCGCAGGTTTTTCACTCACATACATACATACGTACATACACACTTACGTACATACACACATACATACGTACATACATACATACACACATACATACATACACACATACATACATACACACATACATACATACATACACACATACATACGTATCCATAATCTATCTCTGCCCCCACACTTCCCTCCAAGGGCTCCCCCAGTCCTTCTCCGAGAACGGGGTACAGGCAGGAGCCTTAAAACACCAGGGTTTCACAAACCACACAGGTTTCACACGGGTTCGACGAATACTATCCCATCTCTAGAAAGCCTATGCTAGCTGCACCCTTTTAAATAAGTTATACGTCCAACATGATGCAAAACGTATGGATTGAAACTGGTTGAATGGATTTTGCTAGGCGAACACACAATGCAACACCCTACTTCCCATCACAAAGCAGCAAAAATGCCGTCGCACCCAAGAAGCCCCACGGCCCGTGGGTGCGACGGCGTTTGCTACTACTTTGTGATGGGAATGCTTCCATTGCACCACAAGCTGTGTCGCATCCACACGGTATGAGCAAAAATCCCCATGCCCCGAAACCAGGCAGATCAGGCGCTAAAGGACCGAGTCACTCGCCCACCAGCATTTTTCGGCTCATACACAAAGCTTCCAAGTTGCAACCAAGTTCTCAGCACCCACACTTGATTGGTTCTAGGGTGGTTCAATTTGGGTTATACGCCTGGCCGGGAGCAGGGTTCGGTTCCTAACCCTCTCACGGACGCTCACACGGTCACAGGCCATAGTAGGAAAAGTTAACCTGGTCCGGAGCCAGGTCCGCAGCTCGAATGTTGTCGATCGAGGACTGGCTCCCAGACCGCAGCGGTGAGCCAGGATTGGGATACGAGGCCTGCAGCCGCCCGCTAGCAGCCGCGGAGGCCGATCCCCCCCCCGCAGATATGGCGCGCATTATGCCGTTGCTGCCGTACGATAAATGTGCGGCGACGGGGTACGAAGCACCGGAACCAATGTAGGGTCCTGTCACCGCCGTCGCTGCTGAGGCTGACGGCACACCAAGGCCAGGATGTGGATGAAGCGGTGCCGCACGGAGGAGATCATAGCCACCACCACCGCCTCCGCCACCACCGGCTGCGGCTATGGTGCTTGAGGAGCCCAGCCTCGGGCTTGCGCCTGAGCCCGGCAGTACCCGCCATGCCTCAACCCCGAGCCCGCTAGGGTAGCCCCCAATCAGGCCACCAACACCACCCAACCCCGGCCTTGGACTGGCAGGTCCACGCGCGAGGTTCCCGGTCCCCGCGGCCGACCCGCCCGCGCTCCCCGGCCCGAGGCGTGGACTAGCAGAAGCCCGCATGAGACCACCACTACCGCCGCCGCCGCCGCTGCCGCTGCCGACTGAAACCATTACTGATGCGGGCTGCTGCTGCTGCTGCATCGGCAGCAAGGACCGCTCCAAAATGCTTCCACCACCACCAGCACCAGCACCACCACCACCGCTGCCGTGTGCGACCGCAGTGCTGACACCACCTAGCAATGGATGCTGCGGCCGTATCCTGGCTGAACCTGTAGGTGCCTGACCAGCAGCAGCAGCGGCAGCGGCGGCGGACGTGGTGATTGTGGCGGCAGCGGCGGCGCCCGGCGGGCCGCCTGGCCGGTGGGCAGTGGTTTTTCGCTCCGTAGACTCCAGCGTGTTACCGCTAGCCGCTAGCTGCAATCCCGCGACGATGACGCCGTCTCTGCCAGAGCCTAAACCGTCCAGCAGGTGCATGGCGATGAGGGACTCCAGGTCTCCGGACGCACCGCCGGGGCCGACAGTGCCGCCCGGCCGGCCGGCCGCAGCAACGCCGGCGCTCATTGCAGCAGCGCCCGCCGCCGTTGCGGTGTGTTGCTCCAGGAGAGAGCGCGGGGTCGCGGGCCGCGGCTGTTGGTGGTGATGATGATGATGATGATGAGAATGGGGGTGATGGGGTCGTGGAGAGCTAGCTAGCCAGGCGGCGACATGCGGCACAGCAGCAGTAGCAGCTGGAGGTGCGGCCTGCGGGTGCTGTTGATTTTGATGTGGTGGTTGCCATGCTTGTTGTTGTTGTTGCTGCCAGTGCTGTGACGGCACCTGGCGCACGCCGGTCGCGCGAGAGACGGTGGGCGTGGACAGGACTCCTCTGCTGCTGCCCGGACGCGGCGCGACCACCACCACCGCGCCACCGTAGCTGCCGGGGACGACGGCAGTCCCTGGTGAAACGGGCAGCTGCTGGGCGACCGCGCCCCCGGCAGTGTTGAAATGTGGGTGGTGCGGCGCTGCGCCAAAGTAGGGTGCGCTAGTCACACGTGGGGATGTCCGTGCCGCAGTCTGGACAGGGAGAAAGGAGGGGTAGGCCCGCGGGGCGATGTTGGTGGGACCGGGTGGGGATGTCGGATGGCTCCAGGGTAGGGCGCTACGGGGCTCCGCCCAGCGGAGGCTGCTTCCGGCGGCGGCAGGGGCGGCGGCGGCGGCGACTCCCCGAGAGGAGCGCGCCTGACCCAGCCACCGGGTGAAGGTCATGTGCAGCCGACTCACGTTGGCAGCCTCCTGCCAGTCCGAAAGACGTGGGGGGGGGGTTCAGGGGAGCGCGGGGAGTTAGTTATATGCAAGAACTGCCGACGGCCAATAGCCGACGCCGGAACGGTCGGGGAGGTCGGAGGTGAGTTGGTGCGCGTGTAAGGAGGCTGTGTGTGGGCGCGGGTGGGTCACGAAGTGCTGAGAACAAACACCGGTGGAAGTAGCTGCCACCGGTCAGGCATAAGCAGAGCACTGGGCTTGGGGCATGTGCCGCTCCGCGGGTGATGTGCTTTGCCGTCCTGGCCCGGCCACACGGGCGAGCAGCCGCGGCGCCGGTGGCGAAAAAGCCACCCCAGGGGGAAACCCTGGTGCCGGACCGGTAGGACAGGGCTGGACGAACCCGGGCCCGGTTAAACAGCATCCCTAAGCCTAGCACCTTGCCCAACCATACACCTGGTTTACACCTGGTTCAACCATGATGGCCTTCCTTTCTGCAGCTCCTACTGTTTTAACGCTAGCTTGGAATTCCTGAAGCTCTCGCTGTTTTAACGCTCTTGTAGAATCTCCCCCTAGACCACGCTCTTCTGGAAGCTTCTAAGCGGTCCCAGTGACCAGCTGCAACCCCCCTGTCTCACTAGCAGGTCAGTTGACGGGGAGACGCCGTCCCACGCCTCCGAGCCCGCGCGTGAGTGCGCCGCCGCCAGCGCCTGCAAGCGCGCCCGCGCCGCCACCGCTGCCG